AATGTTTGGAGCCTCTTGGGCTGTCTTGGTTGCTATTGGGCCGTCGTTGGGGCCTCTTGGGCCGTCTTGGGGCTCTCTTGGGAGCCTCTTGGACCAGCTTGGGACGGTCTTGGGGGCCTCTCGGGCCGTCTTGGAGCGTCGGGCCGACAAAAATTGAGGAAGCCAGGAACCTTTAAAAGCCTGAAGGCAAGCAATGATTTTGGCTGTTTGGGTCCCTCTTGGGAATGCTCTTGGGGTTGTCTTGGGACGTCTTGGACGCAACTTGGGCCATCCTGGAACTATCTTGGGCGTCTTGGAGCGGTCTTAGGCGCGTCGAAGCACGCCTTGACCGTCTTCGACGCCTCTTGGGCCGTGTTTGCAAGCTCTTGGGCGGTCTTAGGCGCCTATTGGGTTGTTTTTAAGCCCTCTTGGGCCGTCTTGGGGCGCTCTTGGGGGCCTCTTGGGCGATCTTGGGACGGTCTTGGGGACTTCGTGGGCTGTCTTGGAGGGTCGGGACGACGAAAAAACAAGAAAACCAAACACCTGCAAACAACCAACGGAATTCAATGATTTCGGCCTCTTGCAGCCCTCTTGGGAATGCTCTTGGGGCTCTCTTGGGACGTCTTGGAGGCCTCTTGGGCCATCTGGGGGCCATCTTGGGCGTCTTGGAGCGGTCTTAGGCGCGTCGAGGCACGCCTTGACCGTCTTCGACGCCTCTTGGGCCGTGTTTGCAAGCTCTTGGGCGGTCTTAGGCGCCTGTTGGGTTATTTGTAGGCCCTCTTGGACCGTCTTGGGGCGCTCTTGGGGGCCTCTTGGGCTATCTTGGGACGGTCTTGGGGACTTCGTGGGCTGTCTTGGAAGGTCGGGACGACGAAAAAACAAGAAAACCAAAAACCTGCAAGAAACCAACGGAAATCAATGATTTCGGCCTCTTGCAGCCCTCTTGGGAATGCTCTTGGGGCTCTCTTGGGACATCTTGGAGGCCTCTTGGGCCGTCTGGGAGCCATCTTGGGCGGATCGATCGTAAGCGTCTCGAGGCACGCTTGGACCGTCTTCGGCGCCTCTTGGGCCGGACAAGGGCGCTCCCGGAGGCCCGATCCCGCCATGGGGGGTTGCGGTCCTGGCCAGGGAGCCCCCGGCCCTGTAGCCCGGTATATATATATATATATATATATATATATATATATATATATATATGTGTGTATATATGTGTATATATATACACACATACACATACACATACATACATACATACATACATGCATGCATGCATGCATGCATGCATGCATGCATGCATGCATACATACATACATACATACATACATACATACATACATACATACATACAAACAAACATACAAACATACATACATACATACATACATACATACATACATACATACATACATACATACATACACACAAACAAAACTCCCTTATTCACAGAAAGCTAATCCGGCACAACTTCGGTCCCGGCCGACGAGGCCTGGTGACCTCCCAAGCAGGGCCCAAGACGGCCACACATGGCCCAAAGACGGCCCCAGAGGGCCCCCAGGAGACCTCAGGAGGGCCCGACGAGCGCCACAAGACGGCCACGATGTGCCCCAAAGGCCCAAGATGGGCCTAAGCTGACCACTCGACGGCCCAACGGGCCCCCCAGATGGCCCAAGGGGGGCCTGAAGACCAATCCCAAGAGCGCCCGGGGGGCCAAAATTAAAGGTGTTCCCTAGGTTTCGGTGCCTTTTTCGCGTACTCGGCTTCTCGGTCTCCAAAGCACTCGAGACGGCCGATCGCTCCAACATGGCCAAAGAGGGCCCCAAAACGAGCCCAGCACTGGCCCAGCACGGCCCAAGATGAGGCCAAAAATGGTTCCAAGATGGCCCCCGGAGGGGCTCCACACGGCCTAAGAGGGCCTCAAGACAGCCCAACAGGGCCCCCGGACCGCCCCAGAACAGCTCCAAAAGGCCCCCAAGATTACCCAGAGGGACAAAAACGGCCCCAGATGGCCCCGAGACGGCCCAGGGCGCCCCCAAGCCGGCCTGAAAGCAGCCTCCAAAGACCCCGAAGAGGGCCAACTCGGGACCCTGCACTAGTACAGCGACGTTCAGAACATCAACACACACACGTATATCCGCCGGCCCCCTTGCGGGGCCATCAGGCTGCGAGGCTTAGCCTTGCTGTTCCCTGCGCTAGTTTCCAGTGTGCTCTGTGGTAGTTCTACGTTCTGCCGAAAAGCGGAGTAGCGTTGTCTGAATTCCTGCGGAGCCGTGGGAAACATAAAAATACAGCAAATTCGCGCCCGGAGGCCAGAATCCAACGCAAGTCAAATGAATTTCGCGCTACCGAAGCCAAACAAATCCCACGACCCGAGGCGAGAATCCTTCGCGAATCACCCTAAATCCCGCGTAAATGATGCAACATTCCGCTCTGGAGGCCAGAAATAAACATAAACTGCATCAGGTTCGCGCCCCCGAAACCAAACTCCTTTCGGCAAATCGCCGAGATTCGCGCTCTCGAACCTCGAATCGCTAGTGTCGTCAATTACTCCAGATACTCGATCCGGAAGTTAGATCCCCATGCGAGAACCGCTCAGAGACAGCCCAAGTCGCCTCCAAGGGGGCCCCAAGGCGGCCCTAGAGGGCTCCAAGATGGCCCAAGAAGCGCTCAAGGCGGCCCAAGAGGGCCGCAAGACGGGCCCAAGCAGGGGACCACGAACCGAACATTCGATGTTTGTGCCCCGAGAAGTCCCCAGGAGGCCGCGCCGAGAGGCCCCAAGAGGCCCCAAGAGGCGCCCAAGAGGCCTCCAAGAGGCACAAAAGATACCCCACGAGGCCCCGAGAGGCCCCCGAGAGGGGTCCAAACCGCCTCAAAGACGCCCTCTTGGGGCTCCCCACAACACCCCAACACATATACAAGAGGCCTCAGACCCACAACTCAAGCACGGTGGCGGGATGGGCCGAAGGTCACTAGGGTCCTCCGCCCCCTGTCGATTCATCGCAGGGGTGCCTGGCGTGCCAGACTATTTCGTTTTTGGTTTTGGTTCTTTTTCCCAAAGAATCTAAGACGCCTACGGCGAATCAGCGCCGCCCCCTGCCTCTTTGGAAGCGCCTATGTGGCCGAACGTTGAGGACGGATCTGCCAAGCTATTGGACCATGTGTTCCTCGAATCGGTTTGGAAAGCCTTCGGGGAACACGTGGGCATCTTGAAGGTCCTCTTGGCCGTCTGGAGGCCATTTTGACCCCTTCGGGCCTTCTTGGGGGACGTCTTGGAGGGCTCTTAGGCCGTCTTCGAAGCCATCTTGAGCGTAATGGAGGCCTCTTGGGCCGTCTTGGGGGCCTCTTGGGGCCGTCTTGGGCGATATTTGGGCGATCGTTTGGGGCTCTTTTTTTGCGACACTCTCGAGCCGTCAAGCTGTTCTAAAGCTATGGGAAGATGGTTGTAGTAAATTGCAGACTTGGCATGCTCCCTCAGGCGCCTAACCAGGAGACGCTCACTACACCCACCAGCCAGTTGCCCGTTGCCCCCCTCCCACCTGGGCCCCTACCCGACACTCACTCCGCCCTTCCCTCCTCCTTCCCTTCCCTCTCGGCGCGGCTCGGGCAGGGCGAGCTCTCGACTGACCGCGTGGCCGTGGACGGGCCCCGGCGTCTTCCGAGAGGCCGACCACCGAGCCTAGGCGGCAAGGCCTCGGAAAGGAGAGGAGGGAGCACGAGGCACTGTGGGAGGAGGAGAAAGCACGATGGGAGGAGGGAGAAGAGGCATGACAACGCCTCAGGTGTTTGCCAGCAGCTGGGAGCCGGGCCAAACTATCATCAGAAGACTTGTGGGGCGCCAGACGTCATATGCGAAGGTGAATACCGCACCATCCGTCCGCCTGACAAACTTCCAGCTGGGCAACGAACTCACCACCTGCATGCGAATATGCCTACAAACAGATGCGGCAACCAACTCGTTGCCGCCACGCCAACGGCAAGCGCGGCAGAAGAGGCCAAGCAAGATACAAGGCGAGGAGCTTGAAATGACTGTGGACTGCTACCACCCGGCCAGCCTGCCTTCTCGTCCGTCTGCTCATCTCGCTCTCGCTCGTACACGCGCTCGGCAGCACGATGCTCTGCGCAGGCTGGCACTCTCGTCCGATTTGGGCGATGGGAGCTGTCAAGCCTAAGCCTGCAGACCTTGCACAGACCCCAGGGACGGGTCGGTGACATGCCGACTGAGAGCGTCTTCCACACGCCAGCACCTCGAATACCGTAGGTATAAACAAAAAACTCCTGGCAATGAAATGCGTCCAAGTTTGCACGCTTGACGCACTCACTGCTGGCGCCGAAGATCCCTCGACCTTGCTGGCGAACTAATGCTCCCGTCAGCGGCCTGCTGACGTGCAAGGCCATCAACTTGGAGAGGCAGAAGGAGAGTGAAGGACACATGCTTACCAGCGTGGACCCCTAAATGTAAGTTATTGCAACTTACTTTTTGGGGAAAGCTGGCCCTTCGAGCTCTGTCTCCTTTCCCCTGTGGCACAAAGACAGACGTGCTCGGTACGCGTCGAGAGAGATACTCGACCGACACCGACTTCTCTCATCGCACGGATGGAAACAGATGAGCACATGGAAAATACTTCTGGAGCCAAGCTCAGCCTACCTTGAGGCCACGTGGTCAGACTGCAATTGTGATGAAGGCTACTGCGAGGCGAGGCGTCGAAAGCAATCCTAGTATTGGATGCGGCATATTCTGTAGGGTAGGCGCCGAGAACAAATGTCCGAATCATTATAGACTTGGAAGTGCAGCGGTCCGTCGTGGACAATGCACCATACACAGCGCACGGGCGCTCCTACATCATTCACTCAAGGCAGTGGTCCAACCTTGCACCAAACAGGTTGAAAACGACCTTGGGCCCTGGCTGGCAGGCCCCGGCATACCCTGCCCCCCCAGGCAGGCAATTCCCAGGGCGGGGGAGGCGGCGAGGCCTCTCGCGCCGCGCGCCTCGGATGGCCGCGCGCCGCGCCGCGCCCGGCCCTCCTCAGTCGAGCACCAGGCCGCCCACTGGGCGCCCGGCCTCCGCCCACGCGGCGCGCAGCGCCGCCCGGCCCGGCCCGCCGAGCAGGTTGTGTTTGAGGCTGAGCAACTGCAGACGGGGCAGCGCGCCCGGGGCGCGCAGGGCCTCCGCCAGCCGCGCGGCGCCCTCGTCGCCCACGCGGTTGGTGAAGAGGTAGAGCTCCTGCAGCCGGGGCAGCGCGCCCGGGGCGCGCAGGGCCTCCGCCAGCCGCGCGGCGCCCTCGTCTCCCACGCGGTTTTCGAAGAGGGTGATCCACTGCAGCCGGGGCAGCGCGCCCGGGGCGCTCAGGGCCTCCGCCAGCCGCTCGGCGCCCTCGTCGCCCACGCGGTTGCCGTGGAGGTCGAGCCCCTGCAGCCGGGGCGCGGCGCCCGAGGCGAGCACGGCGGCCAGCTGCTGCGCCTCCTCGTCCCCCCAACTGCAGCCCCCCGTACAACAGCGTCTCCGCGGCCTCGAAGCGCTGCGCGAAGGCGGAGCGGTAGAGCTCGGCGACCCGGGGCCGGTCGTCCTTGCCGTTGGTGAAACCCTTGCTCTGCAGCTGCACGTCGAAGGCGTCGGGCAGGAGGGGCGCCCGGCGCCCCGTGGCGCAAGCCGCCATCAGCGCCCCGTAGTCGGTCTCCGCTCCCGTGGATCGGCCGAGGTCCAAGAGGAGGCAAGACGGCTTCGTCAGCATCGCCCAGGAGGACTCGCAGAAGCACCAGCCACGGTTGAAGTACTGCTCCGTGTTGCCCGACCGGGTGTACTTTGCAGCATCGCCGTAATCATCTGGAAACCGCGTCAGCATGAAGACGACAGTGGCGGGGTGGGAGTAGAAGCTCCCCAGGCTCCCCAATGCCTCCTTGCTCCAGCTCGAAGCGGCCGAGGGCATCGTCCTCGAAAGAATCTGAGCCTTCGAGCCGCTGATAGGTGCGCTGCTGGGGAACGCCCTCGCGGTCCCTACAGTTTTGATGGATGCAGCAGAAGTCCATGAATACACCCCAGCGGCCGCACATAAATTCGCGCGCGTCCGACAGCAGCTGCAGGGCCTGGCCCACGATGCGCAGGTTGTGCCCGCGTGGATCCGGGTGGTTCGCCTGCAGCCAGCAGTGTGATATGCACGCGATGTGCAGCACGGGTACCAAGGGAATGGCGAACTTGACGGCGCTGTGGGGCATGAAGGCCGTCGGCGGCAACGCCTGGCGCGGCTCGAGGACGCCGCCAGTGCGCGCTCGCCTCACCATCCACTTCGCGTCCATCAGGACGACCGCTCCACTGCCGAGCACGGGGTCGAGCTCCAGGCCGCCGCTCCTCTCCCACTGTGCCTCCGAGGCACCCAGGCACTCGAGCGCACCCAGCTCGATGAACTCGTTGAGGCACCCCATGCACTGCGACCGGTAGGACGCCATGCAGCAACCCATCTCGATGCTTGCAGAGGGTGGGGTCGCCAGCGACTTCCAAGTTGCAACCAACTGCGGAAGCTTGAGCCAAAATGGCTACGGAGGCGATCGTTTGGGGCTCTTGGGCCGTCTCGGTCCGTATGAAGGCCGAAAAAAGCGAATGTCAAAATCCTTCAAAAACCTGAGGCAAATCATTGTGTTTGTTGCCTTTTTTCTGGCATTCCTGGAGGCCCTCTTGGAGGCCTCTTCGGCCGTCTTGGGCCATCTTAGGACCATCTTCGGCCGTCTTGGTGGGCTCCTGGCCCGTCTGACGCCGTCGGAAGCCGTTTGGGTGGCCTCTCTGGGCCGACTTGGGGTCCTCTTGGGGTGCTCCAAGGTCGTCTTGGAGGCTATCTTGGGCATCCAAGAAGCCTCCTGGGCCGTCTTGGGGGCCTCTTGGGGCCGTTTTGGGGGCCTCTTGGGCCGTTCTTGGGCCATCTTGGAGGCCTCTTGGGCGATCTTTGGGCGATCTTTTGGGGCTCTTGGGCCGTCTCGGTCCGTATGAAGGCCGAGAAAAGCGAATGCGAAAATCCTTCAAAAACCTGAGGCAAATCACTGCTGTTTTGTTGGTCTTTTTCTGGCATTCCTGGAGACCCTCTTGGAGGCCTCTTGGGCCGTCTTGGGCCATCTTCGGCCGTCTTGGTGGGCTCCTGGCCCGTCTGACGCCGTCGGGGGCCGTCTTGGGGGCCTCTCCCTACCGACTTCGGGTCCTCTTGGGGTGCTTCGGGGCCGTCTTGGAGCCCATCTTGGGCGTCTTGGGGGCCTCTTGGGGCCGTCTTTGGCCGTCTTGGGGGCCTCTTGGGCCGTCATGGGACCATCTGGGAGGCCTCGTGGGCGATGTGGGGGCGATCTTGGGGGCCCCTTGGGCCGTCTTGAGCCGTCGGAATGCCGAGAAGAAGTAAATTCCAAAATCCTTCAAAAACCCTCAAGAAAATCAATGATTTTGGATTCTTCGGGTCCTCCTGAAGGACCTCTTGGAGGCCTCTTGGGTCGTGTTGGGCCGCCTTGGAGGCCATCTTGGGCGAACTTGGAGGTATCTTGGACTCTCTTGGGCCGTCTTGGAGGCCGTCTTGGACCATCTTGGGCGAACTTGGAGCCCATCTTGGACCATCTTGGAGACCATCTTGGGCCAACGTGGCCATCTTGGATGCCATCTTGAGCCGTCTTGGCGGATTTTTTCCAGGATTGGGAATTTTCCGGGTAGCCGGCGGGACGGGCCGAAGCGCCTTTTGGACAAAAAAACCAAAGCCAAAACCGAAATAGTCTGGCACGCGCCAGGCACCCCTGCGATGAATCGACAGAGGGCGGCGGACTCCCCCTAGGGCTTCGGCCCGTCCCGCCGGCCACCCGGAAAATCCCCAACCCCGGAAAAATCCCCAAGCCCGGAGGAGATGCCTCCAAGTCCGCCCAAGAAACCTCCAAGACGGCCAAAGACGGCCCAAGATGTAAGACGGCCCAAGAGGCCTCCAAGAGGTCCTCCAGGAGGGCCCGAAGAGTCCAAAATCATTGATTTTCCTTGCGATAATTAAACGGTTTTTCGTAGTTGCTCCTTTTCGGCTTTCCAACGACCCAGGACGGCCCAAGAGGCCCCCAAGATCGCCCCAACATCGCCCACGAGGCCCCCCAGATGACCCCAGAACGACCCAAGAGGCCCCCAAGACGGCCCCAAGAGGGCACAAAGACGACCCGAGAGGCTAAGACGGCCCTGGAGCACCCCAAGAGGGCTAGAATTCGGCCCACAGAGGCCCCCCAAACGGCTTCCGACGGCGTTGGACGGGCCAGGAGCCCACCAAGACGGCCGAAGTTGGCTCAAAGCTGGCCCAAGACGGCCCAAGAGGCCTCCAAGAGGGCCTCCAGGAAAGCCAGAAAAGGCAAACAACACTAATTTCCCTTAGGTTTTTGAAGGATGTTGACATTTGCTTCTTTGCGGCCTTCCGACGGCCCGAGACGGCACAAGAGCCCCCAAAGGTCGCCCAAAGATCGTCCAAGAGGCATCCAAAATGGCCCCAGAACGGGGCCCAAGAGGCCCCCAAGACGGCCCCAAGAGGCCCCCAAGACGGCCCAGGAGGCTTTAAAAACGCCCAAGATGGCCTCCAAAACGGCCCGACGGCCAAGATGAATTTCAAGATGCTCACGTGTTCCCCGAAGGCTTTCCAAACCGATTCGGGGAACACTTGGTCCGATAGCTTGGCAGGTCTGGTCCCAACGTTCGGCCACGCAAGCGCTTCCAAAAAGGCAGGGGGCGGCGGTGATTCGCCGTAGGCGTCTTAGATCCGCCGCCCCCTCTTGATTCATCGCACCCTTTCGCACTTGGTTTTGGTTCTTTTCCCAAAGGACTCCTCCCTGGGGCGTCGGCCCAGCCCGGCAGGGTCCTGGAAAGGCCCCGAAACCACCTCAACGACCGCAAAAAATCTTGCAAGACGGCTCCAGATGGCCTCTAAGATGGTCACGTTGGCCCAAGGTGGCCTCCAAGATGGCCTCCAAGTCGCGAAAGATGGTCCAAGATGGCCTCCAAGACGGCCCGAGAGAGTCCAAGATGCCTTAAGTTCGTCCAGGAAGCCTCCGAGACGGCCCAAGATGGCTCCAAGATGGCCAAAGACTGGCCAGGAGGCCCCCAAGAGGCCTCCAAGACGTCCTCCAGGAAGGCCCGAACGGGCAACCATCATTGATTTTCCTTCGGTTTTTGCTGTTTTGGAAAAAATGGTTTTGGCATGTTTTTCTTTTCAGCTCTCCGACGGCCCAAGACGGCCCGAGAGGCCTCCAACATGGCCCAAGAGCGCCCAAGAGGCCTCCAAGATGGCCCTCTGACAGCCGAAGAGGCCCCCAAGAGGCCCCCAAGAAGGCCCCAAGACGACCCAAGATGGCCCCGAAGACGCCCAAGATGGCCTCCAAGACGGCCAAGACAGCAAAGATGGTCCCAAGATGCACCCAAGACGGCCCCACATGGCCGGAAGATAGCCTTAGACTGCCCAAAAGGCCTGCCAGAGGCCTCCAAGACGGCCCTAGAGCCCTCCAAGACGTCCTCCAGGAAACCCGAAAGCTCGGAAACCACCTGGTCCGATAGCTCGCCCGACTCCGTGCTCCCCGAAAGCTTTCGAAACCCACTCGGGGAACGCGTGGCCCGATAGCTGGGTCAGGCTCAAACCCAACTTTCGGCCACGCAAGCGCTTCCAAAAAGGCTAGGGGCGGCGGTGATTCGCCGTAGGCGTCTTCGATCCGCCGCCCCCTGTTGGCTTGCCACAAGGTTTCCGGGCGTGCTGAATCCTAGACGGATTGGTTTTGGTTTTGGAGCTCTCCCTGGGGCTTCGGCCCGTCCCGCCAGCCACCCGAAAAGCTCGGAATTCTCACAACATGATCGGCCCACGAACCCGGAAAGGAATCTAGATGTAAGGCATGGCAACGTTTCAAATACACCTGAATGGGCGACGGGCAAATGCAATGCTGAATGTATCGACCTTGATGTACCGTGCCGAGGGCTGTGCTGTGCTGCGCCGTGCTGAACTGCGATATGCCATGCCGCCATTGTGCTTCATGTAGCGATGTGGATCGAGTCCTCCTTTGCATCCGGGTCCTGACCGAACAGATCTGGATCTTAAGCTCGAGCTGCCTGAGCAAATGGTGGCTGCCCCAAAACTCATCGGCAGGGGGACTTGCCAGGAGGACGCGCCGCGGAACGTCCCAAGGGACGCGCTAGGCGACGTGCCAGGGGAGGACGTGCCATGGGGACGCACCGCGGGACGTGCCGAGGGGACGCGCTACGGAACGTGCCGATGGACGTGCCACGGGACGTGCCAGGGGACGTGCCAGGGGACGCGCCGCGCGACGTGCCAGGGGAACTCGCCACGGGACGCTCCGCGGAACGTGCCAGGCAACATGCCAAGCTGCAATGCTAAATGTATTGATCCTGATGTACCGCACCGAGAGCTGTGCTGTGCCTGGGCGACCTGGACGCGTGAAAACAAGCGTCGTTCTCAGCACATCCTCATGCTAGACGCTAGACATCCGCCTGGGCAACCTGGACACGTGCAAGCAAGCGTCTCGATCGAGACTTCCTCAACACATCCTCATGCTAGACATCCGCCTGGACGACCTGGACGCGTGAAAAAAAACGTTTGGTTCGAGACATCCTCAACCAATCGTCATGCTAGACATCTGCCTGGGCAACCTGGACGCGTGAAACCAAGCGTCTCGCTCGAGACATCCCCAAGACCTGGGCACGTGAAACCAAGCATTTCACTTGAGAGATCCTCTGAATTCTGGCCCCCAGGAGAGGACAATATGTAATACAAAACAAAAGTGTCGCTCGAGACATCCTCAACAAATTCTGAAAAATCAGCGTTTAGCTCGAGACATCCAAACATAAATTCGCCAACCCTGCGCGACCTCGTTATTTATCGCAAATAAGTTCGCCTGCCGTACAGCCGTCGATTCCGAGGGTAAACGGCTAAAAGACAACCCTGGGCAGGCGCCCTTTCCTGAAACAAATGCCTCCTGGGGCCTGCTGTCGCATTCTGGGGGCGGGGGTGGGGACGAAACGCGCCCCCCCGGGCCTTCTGAAATCTCCTGCCGCCTCCTGGGGCCTCCTGGAGCGTTAGGAACAAATGCGTGTTTGCGCTTCTCCCGCCCTGGGGCGTTAGAAACCCATGTGTTTTCACGCTTCTCCCGCCCTGGGGCGTTAGGAACCCATGAGGTTTCGCGCTTCTCCCGCCCTGGGGCGTTCGGAACCCACGTGGTTTCACGTTTGTACCGCCCTGGTGCGTTAGGAACTATGTGTTTTCACGCTTATCCCGCCCCGCGGCGTTAGGAACCATTGTGGGGGGAAGCGAAAAGCGCTCCCCGAACACATACCTCAATACAGAACATACGTGAAACAAGCATTTCGTCTGAGACATCCTCTGAAGTCAAGCCTCCAGGAGAAGAACAATCTATACCATAACACAAAAGCTCCCCCCGAACACGTATCCCAATACAGAACAATGCCT